GTCAGTGCCACAGGGCCCTGAACACAATCCATGTCAATTTTCCTGGGATAGAATATTCCCCCGCCTGAGTTCCTGATGTCAGTTTGTAGGGTTCCCTTGGGACTGTCAAGGAAGCCAGAATTTGAGGTTGGGGCAGCTAGGGTCTTGGACACAGCCTTGTCCGTTCGGATTTTTTGCAGGCAGCTGTTCCCTCAGGCCACGGGGCCCTGAAAACAAAACATGCCATTTTTCATGGGGAAGTATATTCGCCAGCCCAGTTTCGTGATGTCAGTTGGTAGGATTCCCTTGGGACTGTCAGGGCAGCAGTAGTTTGAGGTTGGTGTAGTTTGGGTCTGGGACATATCCTTCACCATTTGGATTTTTTGCAGGCAGCCACCCCTACAGGGCCACGGGGCCCTGAGCACAAACAGCGGCCATTTTCCCTGGGCAAGAAAACTCGCCAGCCCAGGTTCCTGATGTCACTTTATAGGGTTCCCTTGAGACTGACTGGGCAGCAGTAGTTTGAGGTTGGGGCAGCTTGGGTCTGGGACTCATTTTGCCATTTGGATTTTTTGCAGGCAGCCGCCCCCTCAGGACCACATGGCTCTGAACAGAATCACTGGCCCTTTTCCCTGGGAAAGAAAACTCGACAGCCCAGGTTCCTGATGTCAGTTTATGGGGTTCGCTTGGGCCTCTCAGGGATGCCATAGTTTGAGGTTGGGGCAGCTTGCATCTGGGACACATCCTTTTCCGTTCAGATTTTTTGCAGGTGGCCGCCCTGTCAGGGCCACAGGGCCCTGAATAAAATCAATGCCAATTTTCCTGGGACAGAATATTCCCCACCTGACTTCCTGATGTCAGTTTGTAGGGTTTCCTTGGGACTGTCAGGGCAGTAGTAGTTTGAGGTTGGGGCATCTTGGGTCTGGGACACATCCATCGCCCTTCAGATATTTTGCCGGTGGCTGTCCCCTCATGGTCACAGGCCCCTGAGCAGAAAAAATGTCAATTTTCCTGGAAAAGAATATTCACCAGCCCAGGTTCTTAAGGTCACTTGTTAGGGTTGCATTGGGACTGTCAGGACACCAGTAGTTTGAGGTTGGGGCAGATTGGGTCTGAGACACATTCTTCAACGTTCGGATTTTTTGCAGACGGCTGACCCCTCAGGTCCACAGGGCCCTGATCACAAACGCTGGCCAATTTCCCTGGGAATGAAAACTCGCCAGCCTAGGTTCCTGATGCCAGTTTGTAGGGTTCCCTTGGTGCTGTCAGGGCAGCAGTAGTTTGAGGTGGAGGCGGCTTGGGTCTGGGACCCATCCTTCGCCATTCTGAATTTTTGCATGCGGCCTCCCCCTCAGGGCCACAGGGCCCTGAACACAAACAATACCACTCTTCCCTTGGAAAGAAAACTCGCCAGTTCAGGTTCCTGATGTCAGTTTGTAAGGTTCCCTTGTGTTGCCTTTATAAAGGACAACCAGGGACCTGGTTCAGGTAAGGCAGCACGGCGGCCTGGTCTCGCCCAAGCCACTCGGGCTAATCAACACACGCTGACACCAATATGGCAGACGGTCGAAAAGCGTTTATTATCCTATCTCGTGGGTTTAAATAGTTTTAGGGGTCTTTGCTACGTCAGAGGGGGGTTGGGGGTCTCAGGGATTAGTAAGGAGTGGAAATTTACCAGAGCAGGTGTGGCTACATTCTTCTGGGGCTTCTGGGGTTAATAGATAACGTGGGGAACAGAGAGGGGGAGGGGTCTATCTTTCCGTGACATCCCGTGGTCTTCCGCTTCGCCTGTCCCTTATCTACTACACCTTGGCACTGTCAAGGCAGCAGTAGCTTGAGGTTGGTGCAGCTTGGGTCTGGGGCACATTCTTCGCTCTTCGGATTTTTTGCACGCGATCTTCCCCTCAGGACCACAGTCACTGGAGCAAAAAAAATGCCAATTTTCCTGGGAAAGAAAACTCGCCAGCCTTGGTTCCTGATGTCACTTTGAAGGGTTCCCTTGGGACTGTCAGAGTGTTGGGAACTCAAAATGTCCCTCAGACATTTTTGGATGTTCCGGGTCCAGGTCAGAAGCATTTGAGACCCTGGCAGGCAACTGGAAACAGCTGTGATTTTGGATTTGAACCATGGAATGATTTACCAACCTTGCAGGACAAACAAGAAGTCACAAAACTTTAGATATTATAGTAGAAGTAGTCACAAAGTAAAGGGAAGGAGTTTTGAGTTCTGTACAGGGGGGTTTTAAGTCTTGTACAGGGGGTTTTTGGTTTTGTAGATGGCGGTCAGAAGTTTTAAGATGGAGGGATTTGGGCCTGTCCTGTCCTCCCTCTTTCTTCTTTTTTACCTCCATGTTCTTGGTGATGTTGGCACTCACAGATTGGTTTAGAGTAGAAAGGCACCATTTAATATAGGTAATAGGCATTGGGGGAAAACTATAAACATTTAACACGTAATGTACCATATAAAAGATAGCACCAGCCCTTGGTGGGGGGAGAGAAGAAGAAGACGTGAGTCAGAAAGGATTTCAGGGTGTGTGTGTGCCTTTGCCTGAGCTGCTGAGCAAACCGCAGCAGCCTGAGAAGACAATCTTTTCGATAGCTTGCAATAAACTGCCTTGAGACCGAACAACAGAAGACTTATGAGCTTTTTTTTGAAAGAATGGGTTGGAGGAGAGATTTTTACACCACACGGAGCCACCCCAGACCTAGGGTGAGCTCCGGCAGTTAAGATCAGGGAAGCCACATTTCAACAATCAGCAGGGACTAAGTCATAAGAATTAAATATACTTTTCAACACATTGCTAAAATAAGGAGAAGAGAACCCACTGTCTTTCAAAGCCTGATGGAGTTCTTTTATATCATGGTGAGAAAAAGTTTCATCTCGTGGGTTTACATCATTACGACCATACCTTACAGGTGAGGCAAGGAGTTGTTTATTTGAGTTTAAATTTTTTTTCTAAATTTTGACTAATATTAGACCAATTAGGTAGTTGCAGTGGAAGGTCTACCTCTGATTTAGACCATGTTTTGGTTTTCCCTCTCATCACACCTGTGTCCGACCCAGAAAAACAGGTAGTGTTGTTACAACAATCAGCTGTCCCAGGAACCCTGCCAAGAAGCTCCAAGTTCTTGGCAGTAGTGTTGCCGTAGCAACAGGCCTCCCCGGGAGCCCTGCCAGGAAGGGTGGAGGAGGAGACCTCTACATTCCTAACGTTGCCTCCTCTGTTAGAGGTAGTGGCCGCGGAATGTATTGTATCAGTTACAGAAAGAAAGCCAGAGCCTGCTAAATCATGTCTCAATTCACTAAAGTGGATCCTTTTAGATTCATACAAATTGGGCTGCTTTCGAGCTGCAGATCCCGAATTTGTATTTGTGACACTTTCCAATGAACTGTTACAGGTTCCACACAGTATTCCCCCCCCCCCCCCCCCGCGGGGATGCAGCTTGAAAACTCTCAGTTCGAAACTGCAATCTGTCTGTATCTCCACAGAAACTTTCCTGAGCTCTCCCCCCTCCACCCCATCCATCTCTCTGGGCAGAGCCATCCCTGCCCTGCCCAGCCCCTGGCTGCCACCCATCACCTCCATCCGCCCTCCTGCCCGCTTCCCCGCAGGCAGAGCCAAATCCAAAGCCCCCCCTCCAGCTACAACCAGAGGCTGAGGGGTTACAAACGGCGAAAACCCTGGAAGACCAAGGTTGGCACCGGGACAAGGATTGCTCTGGGATGGCTCTGAGACCAGCACTGGGACCTGTACCTGGATCGCTCTGGGACTTCCAACTTCACTCCAGGAAGCTTTGGCCACACCCTAAAGCAGGACTGGGAATGGGAGGGACTGGGAGTGACTGGGAAGGCCCTGGGCAGAGTGGGACCGCCTTGGTTCACATTGTTCCAGTGCAGCCATCCCGGTCCACATGATGCCAGTCTGTATGGTCCTGATCTATATGGTGCCAGTCTGTGCAGTCCCAGTCTGTAGGATTCCAGTCCGTAGGATCCCAGTCTGCATGATCCCAGACTGTGTGGTCCTGCATGGCACACACTCCAAGGGTCTGGAATTCCAGTTGCCAGAGAGGAAAAGATGTTCCTGCCCTTGAAGGCAAAGCTCTTAAGAAGGGGCCGAAAGCCAAGTGCAGCAAGATCCTACAGCAACATGTCACTGCCAGCCTTCCTAACTTCCCCCATGGTTGTTGCAGATCCTGCATTGAGAATTAAATCGGGGAAGGGTCTTTGGTGGCAGCTGCCCTGGCTCAAGGGACACACAGAGAGAGAAACAGAGCAGGCAAAGAGAGGCAGGACAGAAAGGAGGATACAAACACAATCAACTGAGAAGGTAGCACACTGAAAACAGAACTGCAACGGACTGAAAATGAATGTGACAGAAATAACGAACTCTGAAAGTTTGATTTCCTATCAAATACATCCAATCCACCCAGCCCCACACAATCCCCATCCCACTGTTCTAAATTGGTATCCCACTTCTCCCAATCTCCTTCCAAGCCCATCTCACCCTGACGGCTGTGGAATCGAGTACGTTTGGTGTGAGATGGAGTTTTTTTTGAGGTGGGAACAAGTCATTCTGAGGTGGGATTGAGCTCTTATCAGTTAAAAGTCAGTTGTTTTCAGTGGGATTTGAGTTGTTTTGAGGTGACAGATGGATCCCTCTTGGCTTTTGGAGTGCAAAGAGATGAAGAACACTGCCCAAAATCCCCTCAGAATGCACAAATCCTCCAGATGTCCCCAAATCCTAAATTCCCCCTCAAAACCTTGTTAAATGGTAAGACTTTGGACATCTTTGATCCATTTCTTTCTTTTTAACCCTGTTTTAGCTGCTTTGAAAGGATGAAGATGAATCAGAAGAAAATGAAGGCCAAAACAAAAGGATAACCAGCCAGGTGGCTTCCCAACATGGATCACAGGGAATGTGGGTCAGCAGGGCTCTGCCCAAAGGGGATCTTCTGATGGGGGATGGAGTTGGAGCAGCGCACAAAGCTCTTCCTGCACTCAGGGCACTAACAGGGCTTCCCTTACCGGTGGCTCCATTGGTGTTGGGTCAAGGTAGAGTGCTGTGAGAAGTTCTTCCCACAACGGGGACACTCATGGGGCCTCTCCCCGGTGTGGATGCACCTGTGGGTGATGAGGGTGGACTTGAACTTGAATCCCTTCCCGCCGTCGGGGCAGCTGAAGGGCCTCTCCTTTGTGTGAATGCACTGATGTCCAAGGAGATGGGAGGTGGTCTGAAACCTCTTCCCACACTCGGAACACTCATAGGGCATCTCCCCAGTGTGGATTATTTGGTGGAGGATCAGGGCAGAATGCAGACTGACGCTCTTGCCGCATTCCCCACACTTGTGTGGCTGATCCCCAGTGTGGATGTTCTGGTGCTGAATCAGGCTGGAGCTCTGGCTGAAGCCCTTCCCACAATGCCCACAGTGATAGGGCTGTTGCCCAGTGTGGATCATCTGGTGCCTGATCAGTGTGGAGCTCCGCGTGAAGCTCTTGCCACGCATGGGGGAATGCCCCACGCTCGTAGGACCTCTCCCCAATATGGATGCGCCAGTGGGTGATGAGGGTGGATTTGTCCTTGAATCCCTTCCCACTGGCGGGGCAGCAGAAGGGCCTCTCCTCCATATGAATCCGATCGTGCAGGAGATTGGAGCTGGTCTGAAACCTCTTCCTGCATCTATCACACTCTTAGGGACTCTCCCCAGTGTGGATCTTTTGGTGGCTGATAAGGGTGGCCTGCTGCCTGAAGGTCTTCCCACACTCCCCACACTCATAAGGCCTCTCCCTGCTGTGGGTCCTCTGGTGCTTGATCAGGTCAGAGCTCCTCCTGAAGCTCTTCCCACATTCCAAGCACTTGTGGGGCTTCTTCCCATCATGAACCTGCTCATGGACCAGCAGTGCCAAGCTCTGTCTCGATCACCAGCTGCCTTCCCGGCCCAGCGTGGGTGTCCTAGGGTGACGTTATGGTGCTTGTATCCCCAGTCATGTGTTCTGTTTATGCTTGATGCCTTGTTCTGTACCTTCTGGACTGGCTCTGAAAAGGGAAGGTCTGTTTTGTCTTGTTAGCAGCTGGCTCACCCCCCCCCCACGGTCTGTGTCTAGGAGAGAGGGCAGGGCTTGCTTGCTTGTTTGCTTGCTGGATTGCTTTTGCTTTGCTCTAGCTCCTGCTTTTTGCTTTTGCCCTTGCTTCTTTTTTCTTTCCTTTTCCTGAATACCATTCCAACCTGCTCCAGACTGGGACCTGGGAAACACCGAGAGACACCAACAGCCTGCATTTTGTGATCTGCAGCAGCCATCCCCAGTGCCAGAGACCGAGAACTGGGCGACCACTCCCACGAGTGACTTTCTGAAATCTCTTCAGAGCAGTGAAAGAGTTTTTGTCCTCTGATGTTGTTAATTTTTTGTGCTGGGGACTGTTTCTGTCTGTTAAAAAACAGGGGGTTTTTCCACTTCTCTCCAAAGAAATTCTTCTCAAACCAGGTGGTGGGAAGGGGCTATGGATTTTGCTGTCGGGGGGGGGGGGGTGTTCCTCCTGGAGGTTTTCTCCCAGATTTGCCCTAAACCAGGACAGTGGGTCTTTCCTCCTCAGATCCCCACAATCTGCTGCCTTTGCAGCCCCTCCTTGTCCGGGATCTCCGGGGCTTTTCTTCCCCGTTGGCTTCCTGTGTAGTGGAGCTGCTCAATACAGCCTCTTTCACAAGGTTCTGCCACGGGGATTTGTCCTCTCTGGTCTCCATCCTCAGGTCCTAACTGTCTGGGGGATGAAGGACAAGGAGTGGATGGGATTTGCCTCAGTGCCAGAGGGAACGGGAAGGAGATCCCCCCCAGTGCATACCCGGCAGGACGGTGTCATCAAGGGGGTTGTCCTGCAATCGGGGGCCATGCCGGCCTGGGAGATGGAGCAGGAGAGAGGGGGAAAGGGACAGTGACTTCCTCCTCACCTGCCTGGGTGTCCCGGGGCATCTTCCTCTTCCTCACAGCCTCCAAGGGCTTGGGAATGGGAAATCCTGGTTTGGGGAAAAGAAGGGATGAGCACATTGACTTGGAAGGTCACTCTGCCTAAGTCCATCTCTGGAAGTCACCGGCCATCTGGGATCCATTAAACCTCCTAAATACCAAGATTCAGACCTGGAAAAGCCTCTCCGGAGTTCTCCATCCCTGCTCCCTCCCCTCTGGTGTTCGGGCTTCCCCCCCGTCCCAGCTGCTGGGGGTCACGCTTATACTCAGGGTCCCCTGCTCCTCGGTCCCTGCCCTGCCCAGGCTCCTGGAAGTCTCAGGAATGCAAAAAGCTCCCCCCTCTTGGGTCTCCCTGTTTAGGGATACTGGGGATTTTTGGGCTCCAGGTTCCCTTCTCCCCTTCTTCTCTGCTTTGGGGTGCAGGGACTCCAAGGAGTCCCCCCTCCCCTCTCCAGTCTTTTGAGGGTCCCACCAATGGCAGCGCTCCCCCCTCACTGGGCTCTCCATTTTTGGGCTCCTGGGGGACACAGGGCTCTGCTCCTCTAGGCTGCCTCTGTTGGCAGCTGCCACCAGGCCCCATAGAAGCAGACATGCCCACAAGGGCTGCAGTCAGGGCCGGGAGAGAGAGGGTTAATCAAGATGTCACTAACAGGTGTCGTTCACACATGGCACCAACAGATATGTCGCTATTGGACAAGAAATGAATACACAGAAGCTTGGGACGTTCCAAAGAGAAAAAGAGCCTGTTTTGTTCCAACATCTGGTATTTCGAGAATTCCAAAGGTGACCGGGGATTGGAGGATGGAATTACTACCTCTCCAACCACACTGGTCCAAAGACCAATCAATCATTTCTCTCCACCCACAGAGAAAGATGTAAACTATTCTATTTCCACCTGAAATGGTGTGGGAGCTCTGACTCTCAAAGATGAAAACATTCTCAGAAGGCTAAAGAAGATTCATGATAACATTAAAACTTTCCAAAGAACTCTAAAAGAAACCTTAACACTTCTAAAAATCAGGGCAACAACTGGGCTCATACTTTGCGCTACTTGGAGCAACTGAGAGAAACTGGATCATGCTGCAAGCCAATTGCAAGATCTGGGAATGACTGGATGCATGCTGGAGGCAACTGGGATATTCTGGCCATGATTGGGGGATCATACTGGGATAACGAACAGCTTACTGGGGCCACTGGTAGTGGCTGGAAATGATTACGGACATGCTGGGGGCAATTGGGATCTACTGGCAGTATCTGTAACCATACTGGGGGGACTGGAACCACATAGGGAACTATCGGGACCATGCAGCAGAGAACTGGGACCGAACTGGGGACAACTGGGAGTGAGTGGGAACATGATGGGAGACACTGGGATCTTTCTACTATTCCAGCCTCTCCTTAAAAGCAACGTTTTCCATAGGTGGAGCACAGATGCTGAAAAGCAGCAAAGCTGAGTATCCTGGCTCAGCTTCAGTCATGTGCAATTCACAGAAGGCGAAAAACAAAGCAGCAGAGAGCACCGGGCTTCTGTGCACAGTGAAGGCAATTGCAAAGATCCTGCGCTGCTCATTCACAAGCACAGTCTTGTTCTTGCTTCTCGACAAACTCACCGCTGCCCTTCTTTCCTACAGCTGCCATTGAGTTCTCTGCATCTCGGAGCCTCAGGGGACAAACAAGATTTTCCGAGGAGGGCTGCATCAAGACGAAGTAAAAACCTGTATTCTGCGTCTCGTTGTCTACATCTTAGCAAAAAGCTATAAAGAATTCATGGTTTTCAGTTAGATTATTTCTTCAGAGACATGTACCCTGAGAAAACATCTTTAGCCACCTCTAAGCTTCCCAACAGCAATTTTTGCATTTTTAATGGCCTTTACAATCTATAATTTAATACTTCTTGGGTCAATTTGCTTTTTTTGGCTAATATTTGCATAAGCTTTTTTTTTGGAAGACTGGGAAAAATTTTCAGAAAAGGTTCAATTGGCTGCTCTGTCATTTAATATTAGAAAGCATTTATGGTGTTGTTTCTGGAAGACAAACACACTAAATCAAATAGTATTCCCATTATACTTCTCCACTATTTTTCCCCACTATCGATCAAAGACAATTTTCTATTCTTTCCAAAATCCCAGAACACACTCATAATTTATCAAACAGAGCTTCTCATCAGACTTTTAAGAGCAACATGCTCCTATGTTTATTTCTGCCATCTTGCTTGAAAAGCACTTACCCCACTATTAGAATCTAGACTTGAATAAAAAAAAAAACCAACCAAAAAAAAAAACTCACCTACTTATTTTTCTAGTAAATCTACCATCTAGTTCTTTTTCCTGGTGAATTAATTTGTTGTTCTGATATTGATTGTTACAGATTTTGGTTTCCAGTCTTGGTCAGAAAAGTCAAAATATTTAGAACAAAAAATGCCACATTCACAAAGCAATGGAAAGAATTCTGCTGGAAATAAAGAGTTAGTCCCAAGTATCTAGAACCAAAGTGTACAATTACTTCGTTCCATCTGAAGAGTTGTTTCATGTTGCATTCTAGGCATGAACTTCTATAAAACTGTTGTACATTTGATGTACTTCCCAGATCAAAACCTTACTATCTTGTGATAGGGTTAATTAACATACTAAGTAAGATATAGATCTTGTGTTAGAAACAATAGCAAACCAAGGAAAAAGCCCCCAAATCCGCAACCCCCCCCAAAAAAAACCCTAAAAGCTCAAACTCACAAACAAACTACCAAAGAAACAGTTTCTTCGGTTGACACTTTTTGACTTCTCTTCCACAACACAAAGGTAGCTCTTGGCAGTTGAAAGTGTACTAAGTAGCCAAGTCTATTTGAAACCATATTGCTGCTGAAAATATTTTGGCCTGAATATTGTTTCTAATATGATTTTTTTCTTCTAAGTAGCAGTGCTTTCTTCTATGAGTTATAATGGAAAACATTACTTGTCATTATTTCTATGGTTTTAAGAAACTTAAGATGGTTTGGTTACAGGAATAAAAGACTCATTTTTATTGATGTGTATGTATATGTGTCTGTACATGATTGTACAGATCAGGTCCACTTCTTTTCATTTGTTTAGTTTGTTTAATAGACTTTTCCTCCACTCCAAATTTCACTGGTCTATTTTGACAATAGCTTTTAAAACATATTGCTGAAGAAGCAATCCTCCCAATCAATTCCTAACCATTTACTTTTGAAAAGTGGATTTTCATTGACTCTAAATTCCCAAGATTAATGAACCGCATTTTCCCCGGAAAGTCAATTTTTCACGGGTAGAAGAAGGACATTCTGGAGAACAATATTTATTCTAAATCATGCATAGGATCTATTGGATCTTGTGATAGACGACTTGACTGTTTCTGATGAAAAGGTTTTCGATTTTCCAAAGAGGAAGGGAAGAAGGATAGTGGGAAAGCCACTTACTTCCTTTGAAGCAATTGATAGGTGTCGGAACTCAAAATGTCCCTCAGACATTTTTAGAGGTTCCAGGCCTTGGTCAAAAGCATTTTAGACCCTGGCAAGCAGCTGAAAACAGCTGTGATCTTGAGTTTGAACCATGGAATGAGTTACCAACTTTGAAGGTGGAACAAGCGGTCACAGAGAGTTAGATGGTATAGTAAAAGTAGTCACAAATTAGAGGGAAAAATTTTTTAGTATTGTACAGGGGGGTTTTAACATCTGTACAGGGGGGTTTTACTTTGTACATGGGGGTCAGGAGTTCTAAGATGGAGGAAAGTGGGCCTGATCCTGTTCTTCCTCCTTCTTCTTCCTTACCTCCATGTTCTTGGTGATGTTGGCACTCACAGATTGGTTTAGAGTAGAAGAGCACATTGTAACATAGGTAGTAGGTATTGGGGAAAATCTATAAACATATAGTACGTAATATATCATATAAAAGATAGCAGCAGCCTTGGGCGGGGAGAGAGACGACGGAGACACCGGACAGTGAGGGTGTCAGGAGAGTGTGTGTCTCTGCCTGGGCCGCTGATCTAGGCAGCCGCAGCGGGCGAAGACAATCTTTTAGATAGCTAGCAATAAACTGCCTTGAGACCAAACCACAAGAGGCTGCGGAGTTTTTCTTTGGAAGCACGGGTTGGAGGAGAGACTTTACCACCACACGAGACCCCAGAATCAATCCCGGGGTTCTCACACCTGGCGTCCCCTGGGCGAGCATCAGCAAGAAGAACAAGAAGAAACATCAAACAGCCTCCAACCTTCAGCGGCAGAAAAGAAAAACAAAAAAGGAAAAGAGCAGAGTGCACAAACTCTCCACAAGTTCCAAGAAGAGAGGGAATGAAAAGCTCAAGATAAGAACCTGACCTTCACCAAGACAACTCGTCTCGGGGACTTTCCAGGGAGGAGACGACCCAGAAGCGCGCCTGGGATCTCTCACCTGTGACCTGCTGGACAGTGAACAGTGCCATCTCCGGACCGACCTCGGGCTGACTCAGATTTTGGTGAGAAAGGTCAAAATTAAGAACATGGGGGGGGAATTCTCCCAAGAGGAAGCTCAGATAGTATCTGTCCCACGGGAATTCTCCCGGGAGGAAATTCAAATAGTATCTGCTTTACAAGGCATCATCTCTGCCCATCCGGTAGAGATTACTCAAAAAGAGTTGAAAATTTTGTTATTGTGGGTGAGGTGTAATTTCCCACCCTCGGATTTAAATTTGTTGTTTAAACCAAATTTTTGTCAGGAAGTTAATAAGCAATTATATTATCGAACTATAAAGAAAGATAAGCTTGCTGCAAAACTGCTACCTTCAGCGAGAACAGTTTTAGAGTCACTCGCACAATGCAGCAGCTCAAGCCAGGCAGCCACGGCTCCTGGGGAAAAACGGGGGGGGGGGGGACAGTCCAGCCAGCAGCTCGGGACAGGTCCTTTCACCACAGACATAGTAGAGGATACCCCTTCGCGT